GTGATGACTATTAATTAATCACAAGGACAAACTCTAGACAGGGTAGGAATATTCCTACCTGAACCCGTTTTCGCACATGGTCAGTTATATGTTGCTTTCTCTTGAGTTTGAAGAGCATGTGACATTAAAGTTAATGTTCTAAATACTTCATCATAAGGGAAATTAGTCAAGCCCTCTGAAAGTGTTTTCACTCTTAATGTGGTGTACAGGGAGATATTAGAATAAGTTTAATCACTTTATCAGTCATTGCATCACTTGTTTTTATATCATGTTTTTGTTGTTTTTATATCATGCCTCTGTTGTTGTTATATCCTTTTGTTACTGTTTATTTGTTAATAAACTTATATATTATTTTCATATACATTTTACTAATTTCCTTTCATCTCTCACACTTCTATTATAGAGAAAGGGCAAATAGCAATATTAAAATATTTCCACTAATTAATTCTCTTTTAATGTGCACGAATTTCGTGCACTGGGCTACTAGTATTAGATATAATATCTGTAAGTAAATTATAGGGGAAACAGATTCCAGAAATAACTGGGGGAAAAATGCTCACAGAGTATTGTTTTGAAAAATAGGAAGTCCTTATTTATGAGTTTATATTAACTAGTCCTAATCCATAGTATTAAGGTTCATAGTTATTCACACAGAAACAGGAAATAAACTATTACAAGTAATCAGTAAAGAGTCTCTTAATTTAGTATAAGAACATTCCAAAATAGAGAGATACTCATTCAGAACAATAAATGATAATAATTTATATGAATTTGATAATGAACAACATTGCATCTTAATGTGTTATTTCTTTCCAACCTAGATCATCACAAAGTATGTATATGAGCTTCTGGAAAAGGACTGTAATTTGAAAAAAATATCTATACCAGTAAGTCCAATTTTTTAAAATGTTCATACTTCCAAATAAAATAGTTTTCAATTCAGAAGGAGATTTTTGTTTTAGGTTAACTGTGATAAGTTTAAATATTAAGGTCCCAGTGTTTTGATATTGATAAAGATGATACTAAGTTCCTGTTAGTATTCCTTATCTCATTGTGTACAATAGTTCTTAAAAAGTAAAAATCTTCAGAAGTATTGTGCACAATGAGATGAGGTATACTACAAAATAGACACGGGATATTAGGTACAACATGGGGCATATAGCCAGTGATAATGTAATAATTGTGTGTGGTGCCTGGTGGTACTTGAAGTGACAGAGGGGAGCACTTGGTAAGATGTATGATTGGCCAGTAGGCTGTATGCCTGAAACTAATGCAAAATAATGTTGAATGTAAACTGTAATTGAAAAATATAGTAAGATATATGTAGGTAAGAAACACTAATACCCCCTCCCCCCAAAATAAGACTGATTTCCATCCTTTTTTGAAAATGATAATATAATTAGAAGAACCACCCTTCTGTACCCTTTCCCATTTATTGATATAATTTATTATTACTTACTTATTTGAAGTGAGGTGGTACACTTGGAATGACCTTTATAAGTATGTATTCCTAATGAAAGCTCGGCTTAATGAATTACTATTGTTTGAAGATAAATGGACTTGGAACAGCCATTTCCAAACTTCAGTTAATGAAGAAAAAAATATTTTACTCATTATATAGAAATTTTGCTAATGGAAATTATCATTAACGTTATACAAGTAAGTTATAGTTACCAATTGCAAAGTCAGAGTTCTGTGTCAAATTGATATGATACTAGCCAATAACCAGCTCAAATACTACCCTTACTCCTTAATCATTAGTACCATTACATAATTCAGTTTCATTACCTTGAATTTTCTAATGTTCTCATATTTTTTAAGTTAACATTTTGGGATGTTTAAGTAACATGGCTTATTCATGGTTATCTTAATTTATAGCCCCTTAAAATATTTTAAATGTTATAATTAAAAAACCACATTTTTATCTTCTGAAAAAAAGTACTTTTCCAGTTTTAAAGTGATTACTGTGGAATTTAAATTACCAACATTTCATTCCTTAAAAAATTGACTGAATTTCTTGGTAACGGGATTTAGTCAAATAGTAAAAAGAAACAGTGCTCGGCCCCTACTGGGAAGTCCAGAGCTAAGATAAACAGCTGTCCTTTTCCATAGCATTCTGGGCTCCATTAAAGCCTCACTGACTTTAAGAGGCATTTTTATTTGTGCATGTTTAGATGTACTCTTTGGTAAATGCATGACTAGAAACCTCCATGGCCTCATTTTTATTACACACTGACAACTTTGCTTTTTAATTTTTTCTTTTTTCTTATCACTATTTTCCTTTTTTAAAAAAAAGCCACTTTAACTGAGTCATTTCTCTGTTTTCCTATAATGGTTTTAGGTAAATTGGAATTACCTAGATTTGGTTTTCCACTTTCTCTCATCCTCTTCCTTTCCTCTGTGGCTTCAATCATACCTGCTGTCACTGTAATTTGTTTACTCAGGACATTTCATGCAATCGAAGCTAAAGTGATTCTGTTACACTTCATATCTCTCTTTCTGCATACTTAATTACTACTAATAAAGGTACAATTACATAATTTTATTTCTTAGCATGTGTAGCTCTTTTAAAATTCTTTATAATTATGTACTAGTTTAATATTCAATATATATTTTCTGAACCAGGCAAGTTATAACCAGTTATAGGATGCATTGTTTAGTTAAATACCTTTTATCTAAAGAAAGTCACTGGTGATGCTTGATAAGATTACTTATTCCAAAAGTTTGTTCATTCCTTTATTTACAGAATGCCTACAATATGCCACCTCTCCTTTAGGCATTGGGAATGTAGCTAGATACAAACAGAAAAGTTCATGCCTTCCTAAACTTACATTCTAGTGGAGGAAGCAGAAGGTTAATAAACAGTTATACGAACAAATATATAAAGTAAAGCATACAATTTATTAGATCATGGCATGTGCTATGGAGGAAAATAAAAGAGAGAAAGGAACTAGAGAATTTTGGGGATATTAGTTAAAAGGGGTGGTCAGGGAAGGTTTTACTGAGAAGGTGGAATTTTTTCTTAAGCTCTGTGGCCATCCTCTTGTTGATGAAATAATTGCCCTTTATACTCTGTTTTCATGAATTTCTAAGCCTCTGTTATATCAATCTGATTGTTTTAGAAGTAGAGGAATTTTGTTTTTGTTCTCCTCCCAGGAATAGTGACTGGGAATACTTGGAATCCAGGGCATTTTTGGTATCTAGAGTTTTTGTTTATTTCTTATTTTGATGACTGCATGGATATACACCATTGATGAAGTGAAGAACTATTTAATTACATAGCAGGTGGATTGATCCTCTCTGTTCGAGGGTGTGTATTACCTGCCATCACGGCTGTACTTTCTGTTTCTGACCAGGCTGCATAGAGGCTTCCATTCCTAGTTACTTGCCACTGCTGATGTGGAATGTCACTCAGTGCCTGCTGTGGCGCATGTAGTAAATGACTGGGGAGTCATCGCTTCATTTAGTCTTTAAAATCTAAATCATATATCATCTAGTTTAAACCTAAGTATTTAAGTACAATCAAAATGAATAAAAATATTTAATTTTCATCCATAGATAGCTGGTATATAAAGTAAGGTATCGGAATACATAAATAATATTCCCTTATTAAATAATTATTATATAACCTTATGCTCATACTCTGAATGAAACTTTAAAGTCCATTTACATAGAATGGTAGATTTTTGAATTTTTAAATAGTTTCCTCTTCATCTTTTAAAAGCTTAGTGGTATTTGTACGTAATATATGATTTTCCAGTAGGTGTATCCTCCAATTGGGTCTTTCTGTTTCTATTTTAAGTGCAGTATTCTTTTATTATAGAATTACTAGAGGCCCGGTGCACGAAATTCGTGCATGGGAGGTGGGGTCCCCTCAGCTCAGCCTGCACCCTCTCCAATCCGGGACCCCTGAGGATCGGGCCTAAATCGGCAATCAGACATCCCTCTCACAATTCAGGACCGCTGGCTCCTAACTACTCACTTGCCTGCCTGCCTGATCACCCCTACTGGCCCCCCTGCCAGCCTGATCACCCCTAACCACCTCTGCCTGCCGGCCTGGTCACCCCCATCTGCACCCTCTGCCAACCTGGTCGCCCCCAACTGTCGTC